ATAATATAAGTATTAAGACAAACAAAAAATCATCCTCAGATGTATTTCTTTAATTTTTAAGACTTTTCCACTTGTTCATTTGACTTAATAAAAGTTTCCTATTTCAAAAGTATGCTTTTTCATCTTAGTGTCCAGTCAACCCACCCCCAGTGCCCAGTTAACCCACCCCACGGGGTTAACTGAGCACTTTCCCATTTTTTACAAAATCTAAATTTTGACCATGAAGAAATTTAAAAAATGAAACATACTATTTTTTGCAGATACCTTACATTATACTGAAGACATTGTACTTTAAAGATTTAAACTCTATCTATCACCAAATTTGTTTTATGATTTTTCAAACAAAATGGTGCCCACTTAACCCCAGTCTACCCTACACACTTCCTTTGGCTTTCTCAACAGCAGTTGCTGCTGAGTAAAACGGTTAGAAATAACACTTCACATTAATACCAGTTTATGTACACGAAGACTGACGAAGATTGAAATGAAAATGGGAAACTTTTCACACTAAACTCTTCAAAACTGCAGGGCGACCACGAGGATACGAGGATCTAGAAACTTCTAGGCAAGACCAATCCACACAGCAGGCCAAGGTACACTCTACTACAGGTATGGACAAATGGAATTTTAGAAAGTCGTCAAAACGCGTAGATTTGACAGCATCGAGAGTACGACTGCGAATGGCATGTGCGGCAAATGGACGGTACGACTTCATACGTCACTCGATCGCCGATTTTCTCAGCGCTGCCACTTCGGCACCCCGTTTGTCCATACCTGTAGTAGAGTGTACCTTGACTTCAAGGCGGATAAAGAATGAAGGTCGCATTTCGATTTTGGCTGCCATCTTGAAGCGTTGTGACGTCAGGAGGGTACGGGTTTTGCCGTGCAATCCGAGGTTGAGTCGGCCCCCCCCGCGCCCCGGCCTCGGCCAGCCCATGTACCCGATGTACCCGATACCGTGTGACGTCCAGAGGGTACGAAATGCGACCACCATTCTTTATCCGCCTTGCCTTGACTTCTATGAGCACTACTGAGTGATAAGCCTAAATAGGTGGTGCATGGAAATATAAACAGGAAGACCCAATCATCGGTTGGTTTAGTTCACTACACCCTCTGCCAGGGAGCGCTGATGTCAGCGCTAACCGGAGTTGGGGGTCCTTATTTATTCTCTTGGTCCATGACAACGCACCTCTTAATAACTCCGCCAAGTTTGTTTACAATTGAGACGTCAAGAGGGTACGAGCAGGGACCAGTTCTATAGGACCCTGGACTCCCGTAAGAGTCAATGTAAAAATTCGTGAGCAGGTACTAGTGCTGCATTCTCGCGTAGGATCCTCGCAACTCACTGCTGTTATCAGCTGTTGGACTTCATTAAAATCCGTAGGATCGCGTATAACTGCAAAAAATCGAATTTTTCACTATTTTACTACCTACGGCAGGTCCTTCCTGGTCGAAAGGGGTCGAAAAACGCCAAAAATATACTTATTTTTCAAGAATTCAGCCGCCTTATGTGTTATTTTTCAATCTCCGGCTTAACCTCACTTTTGGAGCGGGCGATGGATGAGTCGAGGTTCAGGGGGAAGGATCCTCTGAGTTGACTAGGATCCTACGCGAGAATGCGCTGCAATCACCCGCTCACAACAGAACGGCGTCCTATAGAACTCGTCCATGGATGAATATATACTAACTATATATATACTATGAATATATAAACTAATATCTTCGTCCATGACTCGTCTCTGGTACGAGATGCGACCACCATTCTTTATCCGCCTCCGCCTTGCATTCACCTGACCACCTGACTCTATATAATAAGTCACTCAGTTCAGTTAGTTTCGCCCATGGCCATGCAATCATGACCCAAATATTCCTGAAATTACTTCTATTACTCTCGCATGCTTTATATTCCGTACTTTTAATGGTGCAGTCAAATTGGTGTGCGGTTTTCAAAAAATGCAGAAGAATTTGTGAATCAGTTATCCTCTTTGATAAACCCATTTTACCAGAAAGTGATAGTATAAATTTACTGGAGCATCCTCAGGTTCCTCTTAAAATTCCTAATCACTTAGTAATAATAATCGGAAATGAGCCGATTTCTTACTGTGATTTAGTCAACTTTATAACTTGGAGTTTACCCCATGGCATAGCATTTATTAGTTTTTATGATCACAAGAATGGTAAGTAGGCGAAAACTTTGGTTCGTTGTCAGAACCTTTTATGTAATAGATTTAAAGGGCTTGGAGGACCAGGCGCATAGTGTAATTTTTGAGAAAATTGAGATGTTCCTTAAGGTGATTCGTCAAGCTCAAGTGACGTGGTCGAACTGGCATGCGATATATCGTATCCTTCAGGTGAAAAATCTTGACAGATTTTGAATTTTCAGCTAAGAAAAGGACAATAGCCCCTGCGCATGAGCCTTAAGAATCATGCTAAACCCACAAATCGGCAAAATTCAGAGAAATGAAAGCAGGATTGTGTTTGGAGAAAAACCTCGCATTCGATTCAGCTATCGATTTCTGTATCGAATGCGAGGTTTTTTTCAAACACTATCCTGCTTTCATTTCTCTGAACTTTGCCGATTTTTGGGTTTAGAATGATTCTTCAGGCTCATGCGCAGGGGCTATCGTCCTTTTGTTTGCTGAAAATTCAAAATCTGTCGAGATTTTTGACCTGAAAGATACGATATATCGCATGCCAGTTCGACCACGTCACTTGAGCTTGACGAATCGCCGTAATGATCTCAAGTAAAACTAGTCTAAGTGCATATTCTGTGAAAAATTCACTCCCTAATTCCTAGTTTTAAGCATCAAAAAGTCAGTTTGAACATTCTTTCTGTCGTAAGGATCCATGTAATTTCGGAACTTCAAACTCATATTCAGAGCCCGATTTAAGGTTTTCGAAGTTGCCCATGATTTTCAGAGAGGAGTGAGATGACTCATGCGGAGACAGAAGAAATTCAAAATGGAAGTCAGTGGCTTGCCACTGCTACTGCACATGTTGACAAGACTTGTCCCTCTACATATCATACAAATAGTTTCCCCCTCATTTTATTTACACTCTCACTCTCTCTCTCTCCTCTCTTCTTTTAACAAAATAGAAATCTCTGAAATTTGCCGATAACTGCAGTGGCACTGTTGGCACTCTAAATCGGTCCCTGCATGTATTTCTTGGAATAGCAAAAATTGCACTACTTATTATGGCTTGTCCTCCAAGCTCCTCAATTGAATCAGTGAGTTCGAAAACACATCAACTCAGGTTTTTTTTTATTTTCATTTTTTTATCGTTTAGTAACATTTATAGATAGAAGCATCTGCTAGCAAAAGGAAATTTCGAAGTTGCAATCGGAAGTGCTCAAAACAGCGACGGGGAAAGGGCGGTGAGAACGAGAACACACCAACTTGGCGAGTTGGTGTGTTTTTGTCCTCACCGTCTTTTGCCGGGCGATGTTTGCGCGGGTATGAGCAAAACCTTCCAATGATCATACTTGGGTACATTATTTTCTGCCATACTGCGGGTACCGGGTTTGAATGCACACCCCCCCCTCCCCTTCTACTTCAGGTTAATGAAATTTACCGGATTCATCCGTAGCAGTTCGTAGTAAAATCAGCGTATATCCACGTTGAAACGCTCGCTTATCAAAGCTTTGCGTTTGGGCCCTACTGACAATGAGTGGCCGTATTATCAGAAGATGCAGGTAAGATTTGCAATCTGATTGTGGTCAAAATCTGATGTTACTGTATCGTCTGTTTACACTAGTGTTTAGTTGACGACTTGCAACCGCATGAGATGGTTCAGCAATCAATATTTCTAGTTAATAACAGGCTCTATGTTTTCAGTGTTTTTTTTTTCAATTTTGAAGCTTTGATCAATAAAAAAATATGTTAAAGAAAAAAGAATAAAAATTTGTTTTATCATTTTTATGTAAAAGTTAGACAGAAAAGATAGTTCACAAATGCTAGTAAAAAATAATTTTACGCGATCATTTACTATATCAGTTTTGGAAACAAACATACGAATTAATCTATCAATGAAGCTCTTCTTTTTATCAAACAGTCCTAAAATTGAGGTGTGTGAAAGAACGGCCAAAAATGCCTCAAGGCATTTTCGAACTTTGAACACTTGGGGTGACACAGTAGCTTTTGAGACGCCCAAAACCGGTCGCCGTTTTGCTTAGAAGCGCCGGGTTGCGACGTTGCCATTTTTTAAAGTGGAAACCTTTAAAAATTCATATCTCCGCTGCATCTCAACCGATTTCAATGAACTTTTTTTTTTTAAAATGCTCCTCTTAAATAAAGCTTTCTAGTGGTGTATAGTTTTCTGGGGTTTACTTGGCTTTAAGCGGCACTTATGCGGTTTTAGCAGTTTTTGATAGACACAAAAATGTTGTTTTTATTTTACCACGATCGTGGAATCGACGGAATCTGAACAAAAATCAGTCTAAATGAGAGTTCAGGTTCTCACCTTTCTAACGAGCACAAGATCATTCCGGGGAAACGTTTAGTTTCCGAGATATGACCACTCAAAGTTGGTCACATGCGCTTTTGCGCAATGTGAATGCGTGTTATCACTGAGACATTCGCGAACTAGGGGTCCCTTACGTTCAATTTACGTTGAAATAATTACACAGAGCAGTAAGGTGTACAACACCAGCCGTTTTTTCACCTTCGGCTGCCGATGTGCGACGTTGCCATTGTTTGAAGTGAAAACTCTTAAAAATGCATAACTCCGCTGCATTTTAACCGATTTTAATGAACTTTTCTTTTAAATGTTCCTCTTAAATAGAGCTATCTAATGACATTCAGGTTTCTGGATTTTATTTACCTTAGGTAGGCACTTAGGTCGTTTATACGGTTCTTTGCAGAGATTTTTCGTACAAACGTTTTTTTTTTTTTCTTTTTTGGAAGGAGGTTTGTATTTCCCCCGATTTTTTTTAACATTCAAACTAGATCGGAAGATCACCATCGCCTAAAGTATAATGCACAAATCTTGGTAAATTAGCAACACCACCTTCTCTTGTACAATGAGAGCGTCGCTTTCAAGATTTGTGATAAGAATAATGATTAAAAGAATCCCTTTTTCAAAAGTTCTTTTTTTTTAAATTCTGCCATTTCAAACCCTCCCAGAACCCCCGAGAAAAAAAATAGCAACACTTTTTTTAATGAAAAATCGCTGCAAAGAACCATATAAACGACCTAAGTGCCTCCCTAAGGTAAATAAAATCCAGAAACCTGAATGTCATTAGATAGCTCTATTTAAGAGGAACATTTAAAAGAAAAGTTCATTAAAATCGGTTAAAATGCAGCGGAGTTATGCATTTTTAAGAGTTTTCACTTCAAACAATGGCAACGTCGCACATCGGCAGCCGAAGGTGAAAAAACAGCTCGTGTTGTACACCTTACTGCTCTGTGTAATTATTTCAACGTAAATTGAACGTAAGGGACCCCTGGTTCGCGAATGACTCAGTGATAACACGCATGCATATTGCGCAAAAGCGCATGTGACCAACTTTGAGCGGTCATATCTCGGAAACTAAACGTTTCCCCGGAATGATCTTGTGCTCGTTAGAAAGGTGAGAACCTGAACTCTCATTTAGACTGATTTTTGTTCAGATTCCGTCGATTCCACGATCGTGGTAAAATAAAAACAACATTTTTGTGTCTATCAAAAACTGCTAAAACCGCGTAAGTGCCGCTTAAAGCCAAGTAAACCCCAGAAAACTATACACCGCTAGAAAGCTCTATTTAAGAGGAGCATTTTAAAAAAAAAGTTCATTGAAATCGGTTGAGATGCAGCGGAGATATGAATTTTTAAAGGTTTCCACTTTAAAAAATGGCAACGTCGCAACCCGGCGCTTCTAAGCAAAACGGCGACCGGTTTTGGGCGTCTCGAAAGCTACTGTATCACCCCAAGTGTTCAAAGTTCGAAAATGCCTTGAGGCATTTTTGGCCGTTTTTTCACACACCTCTTCTCTTGATTATCGATGAGTATATTTTCCATTTTTTTCTGTATTCATTTTTCTGCCATGGTTTTTTTTTTGTCATGAACGTGAAATGTGCAGAGGTACATCAATTTACAGAAAAGAAAGGATTCAAAAATGTCGTTTTGCGCATAGCGCTGCTTCCTCAACCAGTCGAGAATCGACACCGGACCCTTTTAATAGACGCATTTAGGGGTGACGTCACGGAACGATATTGTTTGTTCGATATCTCGAAAGTCGAAATGTGCCCCAACAAACAAACATTACCTCCAAAACGAACAATTGATGAAAGAAAGCTAACACTAGCCTATAACTAAAACATTAATCTGCGGAACAATAAAAATACATATGTAAGCTAGTCATTTTCCAAATCGTTTGAGACCACATCCACAAAAATTGATAATATAATAAGCTCGTGACATAATACTTAGTCTTCGGACGAACGTTGTGTTTGTTTGTTGGGGCACATTTCGACTTTCCAGATATTTAAATTAGATCGAGATGTGACGGCACACTAAATGCGTCTATAAACCTTGACACCGGACACTGGTTGAACTCGCGCGGCAACGTGAATGCGGAGAGCAGCCGAGGAGTAGGAGACGCGTGCGAGGCGGTAGTAAGGCAGGCATGTAGGGAGGTAGTCCGTTGACTGCGACCCAAGAATGGCAAAAACCCTGCGCTGTTTGATTGGAATATGCCGCTTTCAGGGCTCATTGTTGGTACCCTCAGGAGTACTTCTGGAAGGGGCAACACTCTGAGACCCGCGACTGGAGCAAGATGGCGGCCGTTAAAGTCCGCCATTTTGGTTTTTTTCAAAGCGCTGTCCTCCGGTTGCTATTGATCCGATTTTGATCCACTTTTTTTAAAATGATAGGTACTTTCCAGGAAAACAATGTTATTTCTTATCAATTTTCCTGTTAGGCTTAGATTTGTTTTTCTAAATTGGGAGAAACTAAAATGTTTCAAATTTTTGGAAATTTCAAGGTCAAATACCTTTTTGACAGGCTAGAAAATGGATATTTTGCCTCCTCTGACGGAGCCGTAGAATTGCCTGACCTTCAATTTGATACCAAAACGATTTTTGTGCGATAGTAAATAAGCGCGTGAGAGCAATTTAAGGTGATTCCTCCCGAACTGCTCCCGGCTTTAGTTGACGATTCCGCCACCACGTCGCGCTGCTCATTTACTGACTCTTGTTTA